AAATCTTTTTTCTTTAATGGTCAGTAGAAAGCAAAAAACAATTGATTTGAAGTTAAAAATGTTTAGTTGAAAGGAAAAAATGCTGAAAATTAAAAAGGATTAATTGAAGGTAAGAAATGCTACTTGGAAATTAAAAAGGATTAATTGAATGTAAACAATAGTAAATGTTATAAAGGGATAACTGAAGATAAAGAAATGCAAATTTGAAATTAAAAAGGATTATTGGAAGGTAAAAAATAGTAAAAGTTAAAAATGAATGATAGACGGTAAAAAAAATTACAAACAGTTAATTCAAAATAATAAACAGTTTATTTGAAGTTAAAAAGTATTAATTGAAGGTAAAATAAGGCTAATTTGAAGTTACCAAAGGTTAATTTAAAACTTAAAAGTGTTAATATGATGGTTTTCCATATAAATAATCAAATCAGCTATAAATCAAATAGGAAAGGTAAAAAAAAAATTCATTTTTGCCTTTAAAACAATGGAAAAGTTTTCTTGTTTTTTCTATTTCCCAACCGTTTTTCAAACGGTTTTCTTTCCATTGAAAATGATCTATAGTTCTAAAACCGTCTGACAAAATGATTTGCCTTTTTCTGGCTTTATTTACAGAATCGTCTATTGTTCTCCGAGTACGGTTCATCAATCATTTCCTAAAGACTATGTTCTGAAGGTAATTAGGCAAGAAACAAATCACTTTTGACAAGGTTTTCGGTTTTTGGTTACAACGACCTAGGGAAGACGGGTTTTTGCGCTTTTGGTTATGATCCACTTATCTATTGTTGATTTACATATTTAAAAAGACGCAGCTTGGCCAGGGTTTGTTTCTGTGCGACATCTAAGGACCTTTGTTCGTGAAGCGATCCACAAAGAAAAGAAAGGGCATCCCGTTACAGAGGCCGTCGTCCTGTTTTTTCCGGCTCATAATCCTTTAATTGCCCTTCTCTTGTGTAAATAGCCCCCTTTTGTATTAAATATATCTATAAATAGGTGTAATTTAATTTTACCTTTGTCTCTTGGCATCTGTTGGACACGTTCCAATGTGTACCACTGATACAGTTCCCGAATCTTTTCCTACCAACCGAAATAAACGATCTCACTCCTATTATAATTCATATTCTACAGTCCGAAATCTTGCGACTGTTTGTTAAACACAAGTTTTGTGTTTTTATTATTTGAACGTTTACATATCTTTTTGGACCCGTTTATTTTCAATTCGTTTATCGACCTGTATTTTTCTTTATATTTCGTTATTTACTGGCCAAATTAATTAAATTTCTTAAGGAAAATTACTAAGTGACCCGACCTTTGGATGTTTTGTTCAAATTTGGCCCGTTTCCCGTCCGATTTGTGATGCAAATGGCATTATCGTAACTTTCTCTATTTCCCTTGTGCCATTCTCATTTACGAGCTGGCCGTTTTGGGCTTATCTAGTTTTAATTATTGTAAACATTTGAAGGACCAAAGGAAACACAATAACTTGATTCCTTTGATTATAAACTGCATACAGTTTTTATTTTCGAATAAACAAACCTGCACTAAGCGGTGAACCGACTTATCCGATGCAACACTATGCGACGCTACCCGACGCTTGTCACGTTTTGGTAGGGTGTGCACATCTATGCGACGTCAAGCGCACGCACGTAAAGTCACACAGCGTGTATCACACATCACTATCACAATCGCAACGCCTCTTTTTTTCTTAATGCACTATTTTGAGCAAAACAGTGTAATAAATTGTTAGTTAAATTCATTATATAAAAAATCGTATTTCGGTGTTTTGATCAATTTTCTACCAAACCATTAAAATTAATTTTTTTAAATAAAAACTAATTAATTTTTGATCTCGGTTAATTTGGTTGATATGAAAATAAGTCGCGTACATTCCACAGCGTTTATGACAATAATCACTATCACAATCGCAACGCATCTTTTGTTCTTAATGCACTATTTTGAGCAAAACCTTGTAATAAATTGTTAGTTAAATTTTATGAGCACAACCATCTAATAAATTGTTTGTTAAACTTAATTGTTTTAAATAAAGTTACTCCTAACCATCATAATTAAACAATGTTTATAAAAACTTATGCATTTTTGATCTCGTTTAATTTGGTTTACATTAAAATAACATGTTGTAATTAATATAACGACAAAATTACATGTACTTAGTTTGAAATAAACTACAAAAAATATGAGTGTCCTGTTCTGATGCTACCCGACATTACAAAATGGTGTAATTTTACGAGCAAAACTATGAAATAAATTGTTAATTAAATTTTATGAGCAAAACCGTGTAATAAATTGTTCCAATTTTAGTATATGTACCGCCGAAGCGAGTACAATAAATTGTTAGTTAAATTCATTATATCAAAAAATCGTATTCCGGTGTTTTGATTAATTTTCTACCAAACCATTAAAATTAATTTTTTAAATAAAAACTAATTAATTTTTAATCACAGTTAATTTGGTTTATATTAAAATAAGTATGTTGTAATTAATATAACGACAATAATACATGTAGTTTGAATAAAAATATGAGTGTTCGGTTCTTTTATCTTCGACTGTACTCGATGCGACCCGACGAAAATCTGGACAGTGGGGATCGCAGGGCTTAGGGTACGGTAGCGTTGCATAGCATCGGGCAGATGTGCACGGGGGTAATACAATCTTAAGTAAAATTGGACTTTTGATTTGCGTCCGGTAGCATCGGGTAAGTGTGTTCCCTGCTTTATTCAACACTCCTAGCTCCTTGCAATAAAGAAAACACCTTCGATAGGTGCCCCTCGGAGGATCTGATTTGAAGAAGAAGGATCGCCTTACCCGATTAAGAATAAGGCAATGCGAGGTTTACACACGGACCTTTAATTTTAGGTCAAATCTGTGTGACCGGCATAGATATTGCTCGATGTATCCTTCCTAACTGAAAGGTACAATTCCTTGGCTGGGGATATAGATAGCGCTTAGGAAAGCCACCTGATATGAGAATCGTGCTTCAGCTCCACGGAGAAACTTCAGTTCCCCTGTTCCGATTTTTGGAGGAAACAGGATTGTTTTATTGTATATAGTACCGATAGTTTTGTTTGAGAGTTGTAGATAGTTGCTCAGTTGAGGGTGAATGTATTTGTTGGCGTGAATGCGTAGTGTGTGAGAGCCGATGGTAGAATATCGAGTACTTCGCCACCCAACTGAGTAAAGGGTATGGTAAAAAGGGAAAAATATAAAAAATGGTGATTATTGACACTGTATATATTGCAATTTTGTGTGGGGGGATGGGTTGCTTTAAAAAAACGAACCCACGACCGCAGTTTAAGAGCCGAGAGTCTTTCACGAAAACCACTCGGCTACCGCACTTAAAAAGGGGTATTTTCAAATTTAAAATAGAAATAGAATTAAGTGACCTCCTAGGAGGACTCTGGCCTCTCCCTGATGGATCGGGGGAATCACCCACCTTGGTGCCTGAGCGGCTCCGAGGTTGGGCTCTAGTCGGGCGCCATCGACTTCTTTGGTCATTTCGGCGCCCTTACGTTCCCTAAAACTAGTCATTCTCACAGTCACTCGTACTATAAATACATACTCCTATATACAAACCCAATCAAATATGCATATCCTCTGTCTAGAATCCGGGTCGGAGGGTACTTGATATTCCGCCCAGACCCGGGTTACCGGAGCAGCGGTGGAGCCTTGAAATTATATGCTGCACCGCCGCCCAGCATACTCCTATTCTAACATAAACTAAATCTAAACTTTAACCTATGAAATAAATACCCCACTATACACAACCGATTATCCCAATATCTTTTAAAAACCTAAAAAGTTTTTCTTTAAACTCGCTGTCATGCTCGAGCGTTCTCCTATAATCCGGCGGTATTCCATTTCGGTCCCTATACGGGGCCAAGCTGCGACACCGTGTGTCTGTCCTCTTGGCATGCTGAACACCTAGGTCGACTCGCTCCAACCAACAGTTACATGAGTCGCACCTGTGTGACCGATCCGCAGGCGGGTCAGGACAACGCTGAAATTTAAATTTAAAAAAGTGTTCATTTGAACTTAACAAGGATTAAATTGAAATTAAGAAGGGTTAATTTGAAGTTAAAAAAGGTTAATTTAAAGTAATTATACTTTTTCAAAAGTGTTGGTTAAGATGAAAAATCATTGTCACGATTGGGAGTCGTACCCAAAACCTTACATAAAAAGTATAATTAATTTAAATAATTCATACGGTCAATTTTGACTGCCAAATACATATATGGGTTAATTTGAACTTAAAGTTGAATTTAAGTTTGAAAATAACACTGGTTTATTTGACATTAAGAAAGGTAACTCAAAGCTAAAAAGGGTGAATTTCACGGAGAAAAGTTATATTTGCTAATTTTTTGAAAATACAAATAATTGGGCTCTTGGGAAAATAAAATTAAAATTAAATATTATATAAAATTGTATATATTTTCTGCTAATTAAATATAAAAATAAAGTTTTGGTTGAAATGTAAAAGTTAGTGTCATGAGCGGGATTCGAACCCACGACCTTTGTCACGATAGCTCAAGGGGTTAGAGCAGCGGTGTATTGAACCGAAGGTCGTGAGTTCGAATCCCGTTCGTGACACCAACTTTTTCATTTCAACCAAAACCTTACATAAAAAGATTCATTAATTGAATAAAGTAACTTGGTATACAGACCACTAAATATAATGGATTTAATAATAATAAAGGATTCTTTTTTTTAATTTGAGAACGTTTTAAAAATATAAAATTGTTTCTTATATAACATACGATATGAAAATTAATTTAATTAATTCATTTAATTTTATTATAAAAAGTGTTAATTTGGCGGAAAAAAGCTCTAACGACCACCAAATACTTGTTAAAAGTTTTGAACGGCTCCGACCACTAATGATAATATTTTTTTACGGACTTGGAGAATATTATTTTTTTTTATAAGTCACGTTGTCAATTGAATAACATTTTCCATTTTTATAGAATAAACGTATTAATTTTTGTTTTCAGTCTTACCGATGCGGAGCCGGAAGGTAAGGCCTGTGTAAACGGACGGTGCAGTGATCGCGAGGGCTGGTGTCGTCGAGGCGAAGGACAGGAGTCGGCAGTTCGATGTGTTGGCGGTAAACTGTGAGACATTCAAAGAGACTAAATGAGAAATAAACGGCGGAGTCGGTTACCAGATGGCACCGAATCGGAATTCACTCAGGAGGCGGTCTGCGAGGAGAAAGAAAACCTGCGGTCAGAAGTTCCTCGACTTCCTCCGGGCGTTAGCGGCGTTCATCTTCAGCAACGTCGGCATCGTCTGCCTCATCGTCGGTTACACCATTTTGGGAGCGTTCCTCTTCGCCGCGATCGAGAAGAGCCAGACGACGGATGACGGCCACAGGATCGCCGAGGTGAGGCAGACCATGCTCGAGAAACTCTGGTCGACGACTATGCAATTCAACACGTTCACGGAGAAGAGCTGGAGGGATAACGTGACCGAGGAGATCATCAAGTTCCAAAACCAAGTCGTATCGGCCGTCCAGGCGGGCAACTACGACGAGGTCGGGGCCGTCCGAAACAGGTGGACTTTCTCTGCATCTTTCCTCTATTCTCTCACTGTCATCACAACTATAGGTTCGATATTTTCATTAACAATATTTACGTTAGCGACAATTTTAAACAGTTTAGTTAACTGTCAAACTATCGTCTAGACTTTTAAAAAGTTTTTGTTGTAATTGTGTTTGGAGGAGAGATACGAGAGTATTCAGTCGTTTCTATTAACAAGCTAATAACTTAAACATTTATGTTATTTTAACCTTCAATTAATTAGAGTATTTCACGTCAAGCATTTATCGATAGTCCTAGGTACAGCAGCTTGTCCGCAGTTTGAAGAAGTTACGCCATTAAAGTAACAGGAAATACCCTATTAACTGCGACGTGGTGCACCTAGGACTATACATAGACGAAAATTATATTTCGCCCAGGAATTATAATTATACTGCTAACTTTAAGTAACATCTGCCTCTATTTCCCATCCCAAGAATCACTGTCAAAGCTATCTTTCGAATTAAAACTTATTTAAGCAGGCCCACAACATTCCACAATCCAATGCCTTTTACATAAAAAGGACGCAATATGCTGTTGGCAGATGAAACTAGCGTACAACTGGATTCAATCTCTTAAGGCCAAAATACCCACCAGGAAACATGACAGTCAAATCAAAAGCTTTAGTGAATTTCAGTACCCAAAGCCTCGTGTAATCCCAAATGTCAATTGCGAAAAGGGAATTTTAATGCTACGAGTTCTCGTCCTGCTGAAGATTCACATGATTTAGAATGATGCAAGTCAAGCATGTTAATAGCGTGCCCTATCAAATATTTCAACAGTTCGGCATAAAGCAGCGTGGAGGGAACTTGAACCACTAAGTCATGAGTAGTTAGTTTTAGGTTTTTCCGTCAAATTATCCATTTTAATTTCAAATTTGGTCTTTTTAACTTCAAATTAAGTATTTTTAATTTAAAACTATCCGTTTTTAACTTACAATTTACAGATTTAATTTCAATTTAATCCCATATTTAAAACTTCGACAAAACCTAGGAGAGAAACGTATTGAAACGTAAGCACGTAAAGAAAAATTATTTCATTGGAAATAACGAAATAACTGTAAAATAAATGGGCTCTTAAAAGTTCAAAAGAAAATTAATTAGAATTAACATTCAAAATGATGTCCATTTTGTTTAGTGATCAGATTGACCAAATTACTTTTTATGTAAAGTCTTGGTTGAAACGAGAAAATTATATGAAAAATCGAACAAAAAAATGTATTTTAATTGATTGTTTTTATAAATATAATATAATTAGACTCTTAGAAACTTTAATTTCTCGAATTAAAGGAGTAATACTTGATTTTTTTAATTTGTTTTGATATATATTTTAATGTTTATTGTAATTAATTTTGATATGAACTTTTAAGAGACCGAATATTTTATATTAAAATGAAAAACTCAAATATACAGAAAATTTAGTTTACTTGCTGATATTTCATCCCACCTCCTAAATTTTTTAAATACTTTAAATAAAGGATTAACTTAAATAAAAAACGGGTTAATTAAAACTTAAAAATAGTAATGGGAAATTAAAAAGGGTTAATTTCCAATGACAAATGGCTAATTTAAAGTTAAAACTGTTAATTTAAAGTTATGCTTAAAGGGTAAATCTGAAACGCAAGAAAGTTAATGTGGAAGTTAAAAAAGAGTTAATTTGAAGTTAAGAAAGTTAAATTTGTGGTTAAAAATTGTTAATTTGAAGTTAAAAAAGTGCTAATTTGAAACGAAGGAAGGTTAATTTGAAATAAATAAGGATTCATTCAAAATAAAAACTAGGTTAATTTGAAGTCAAAAATGGTTTCATTGAAATTAAAAAGATCTAATTTGAAATTAAGAAATGTTATTTAAAGTTATAAAGAGATAATTTGAAATGAAAGATGGTTAATTTGAACTTAAAAATGATTAAATTGAAATTAAAAAGTTCAAACAAGACGTTTTTATGTTAAAGGGTTCTCTGAAATTACGAAGTGTTATTTGAAATTAAAAGCTTAATTGGAAGTTAAGAGCGCTAGTTTGAAGTGAATAAAAGAATAATTCAAAATTAAAGAAGATTAATTTGAAGTTATAAAGATTAATTTCAAATGAAGAAAAGTTAATTTGGAGTTAAAACGAATATTTTGAAATTATGAAGGTTTAATTTGGAGTTAAAAATGGTTAGGTTGACATTAAAAAGGTCTAATTTGAAGTTAAGATGTGTTTTTTGATCTTAAAATGAATAATTTGAAAGGAAAAAATCAAATTTGCAATTAAGGCGTTTTTTTAATGTTAAAAAGTGGTAATGTGAAATCAAGAAAAGTTTTTTGAAGTTAAAAAGGGTTAATTCGAAATGAAAGAATGTTATTTTGAAGTTAATAAGGGTTCATGTGAAATGAAAAAAGAAGGTTAATTTGAAGTTAAAAAATGGTTAATATGAAATTAAAAAGGTCTAATTTGAAATTAAGATGTACTTTTAAAATTAAAAATGAGGAATTTGAAATTAGAAGGGTTAATTGGATGTTAAGAATGGTTCATTGATATAACGAAGGGATAATGTGAAGTGATAAGGATTAATTTAAAAAACGTATAATTTAAATTAAAAACGGTTAATATACCATGTCGCTAACATAGAGAAGAAACAATATTGGGCTTAGTACTCTCTCTTGAGATACGCCCACATCTTTCTCCAATGGAACCGCGCGGAGCCATTGCTCACTTTAATATTCACAGTAGATTTTCCTGGACATTTGAGACAAACCGCTCTAGAATACACGTCTAACTTTTGCATCCTGTTTAGTTGGTTGGTTTAAGGCCTATATTTTGCAGAGGTAGGGGCAGTCTGTTCAATCTGGGCTTGTAGCAATGGAGCCTAATGAACATAGCGTATTAGGCAAAAAAGACGTGTATGTATTGGACGATGCATTGTATTTATGAAGGAAGGGTGTCGTGAAAAATGGGACTGTGTCTATGAGCCGCGAGTCTATCACGCTAACTACCAGATACCGCGGTCCCAAGAGCTTATGGATTCACGGGTGACTTTTTTCTCCCCAGAGAAATTCTTTTCATTTGCATATTGAATTCCAGCAAAAAGGACGATCGAAAAATATGGAGAGCATCTAGACCCAGATGAACGTGGTGTAAAGGTTCGTATAACCGAGTAGCTAAAAATTTAGTGACTAGTCATTATGTCAACTTTTTTCTAGGTTCGTAAGTCCTCCTCTTGTGAGATTTTATTTAACAATTGCCTTTAACATTCTAGTACGTAGTTCAATTTTTAATTACTTACCGAGAGATATATTTTCCATTGGGGACGTCTTGAATTTCCTCTGGCCAGGGGAAAAATAAAAGTTTTCCACTAAGTCGTCTATAAATCTTCGGACGTTTCGCCACCACTTGGACTCGCAGTTGGAAAAACTTGTTATTTGACGGGCAAAGTGTATTCGGTGGGCCTTGGAACGTTGCGACCTTTCAACCGAACGTTTAACTTCTCCGAGACGATTTAAAGAGACTTCTCGGACTTTCGATGTTTTCAAAGTTCGCCAACCTTAAAATCGATTTCAACTCTGTTGAGGAACGATAGAGATTTAGAGATAGTTGGACGCTTTAAATCTATTGTAGTAATTTTATGTTTTAAAATATACGGATGAAATAGTATAAGACAAAAGTGAACAATGCGGATTTTCTGATAAAATATTTAATACAATTTGCGCTATTTTCTTCCTGTTTCACCTCATAAGTCGAAATTTGGATTTGGCTTGACGTTAACTCGAATCTGCGCAATATCTATACAAAACATGTACAAAGTTGAGCTTATCATTTGTCGTAGTTTACTTTGTAATTCCACTCTTTGTAATTTACAATAATTGCCGGGATGCCTCGAGGATCACTCCCGAGTGTACGCAGTCCAGACATACATACCTCGGTCGTACCGTCCAGCTACCGACGTTGGGCTCCAGGTGCTGTCAACGGCGAGTCAATTCAGCACCCAACTCAATCAGTTCCCAATTTAAACCAATTCACCCTATCACTCATACTAATTGAGGGTTGATGGGGTCCTCAATTTCTGCTATCGACCCTCTCACATTACAAATACATGCTATTAAATATATTCTCAACTGTTTACATACCCTATTAGATTTCGTGGTCCGATTGACCAACGTTTAAAACGTTCTCAAATTAAAAAAAGAATCCTTTATTAGTATTAAATCCATTATATTTAGTGGTCTATATACCAAGTTACTTCTTTCAATTAATAAATCTTTATGTAAGGCATTTGTTGAAATGAAAATGGTAGTGTAACGAGCGGGATACGAACCCACGACCTTCGGCTCAATCCGCCACCGCTCTAACCACTTGAAATATTGTGACTTCGATCCACTCGGACACCAACTCCCCATCTCAAGTGGATCCATTCTAATTGAGTGATCGGTATGTAAATTATCTTTTTGTAACGTATTGGTTAAAATGAAAAAGTTGGAGTCCAAGTGGATCAAAGTCACGAGAGCTTAAGTGGTAGAGCAGCGGCGTATTGAGCCAAAGGTCGTGGGTTCGAATCCCACTCGTGACACTAACTTTTTTCATTTCAACCAATTCCTTACATAAAGATTATTTACATATCGATCACTCAATTAGATTGGTAGAATACTCTATATTCCTCCATCACCCTCCATACAAATTATGTAAATACACTAATTGAGGTTTGATGGTGGAATAAATATTCCGCCGTCGACCCTCTCACACCATATATTCACGCCAATAAATACATTCAGTGTCAACACTTGCTAGGGACACAAATCTATCAGTACTATACGGGATGTTACAGGGTTAAATGTCAATACTGCCATTTACGTGGATTCATATTCACTAAATAAAACTTAGTTCAGTACCACCAGAACGAACTTTTTATCATGTCTTTTCCCTGAGATATTTACTGTTTTGTGATTTTAGTCTAAAATCAGATTTTTTAAACCTAAAATCGTTCTTTCTGAGCTTTAGCGTCATTGAAATACAAATCCCAAACTATATTAAATTTTCCACAAGATAAAAACAATT